GTTTGATCTGCTGCAGAGGGATTATTTTTTCTCAGCATATATGTTTTATCTTATTCTATCCAATATACATATGAATTAAACTATCAAGTAACCTTACCAACAAATCCAGCACTCTTAGAATTATTGTTTAGATTTAACATCATGTCATGTTTCTTTTTGTGCATTGTTAATTGATCCTCATTTGCAAAGCTCTGTAAATGAAAAATAATCTTGTTGTTCCTTACATTGTTGTAGTTCTTTAAATTTTCGTTATGCAAAATAAGTTGTCACATTCTTTTCAATAGAAGAAATAATAATTATCACTTACCATATTGCAGCCCGATGTGGAGCAAGCAAAAAGTTTTTCTGAGTCAGTCATTGTATCCTGATAAATTTCAGTTTCAAGTTTTTTTCAAATGAGATAAAAGTAGACAAAATAATATCAATAGAGAAAACGTCAATAATTTACATTTGTGATTTTTTGAAGAATAATCACATTTTTTAAAATAAAAGTTGGATTTTTTAACCTCAACATACTTTACTATTTTTGCGAATTCATGATTTAACAACGATAAATTTGATAATTTGAAGTACACTCTTGGAGTCAACTGTGGCCATATTGGCAACTACTCCACTCCACAATCCACAATGCTATTTCACATTCATTAGATATGCTGACAGACTGTGTGCTGACATCTTGTATAAGATGAAAGAAAATCTAAAGAAAACTGTAGTCGATATTAACTTGTTAAATTAACAAAAAATGAATGTTTTGAATATTTTTTCATATTTTATAATTGTTTATATTTTCTACTTTCATGTGTCATTCTTTGAATTCTTTGTACATTCAAAATTATATAAATTCGTAAATTTTTCAAACAATTACAACGTGTAATGTTAAAATATAATATATAATATATAAAATAAATATAAAATAAATATAAAAATATATTTACATAATCCCAATATATGTTAAAATATATATTGGTCATCGTGAGTCTCCGAGAATGCATTTTTAAATATTTATAAGAAATCAACATGAAATTTTTATCTCGATATCACGCTGGTCATTCACATAAGCTGTTCTATTCCAAGACGCGGACGTGCGCGGATTATAAAGACGATGAACATAAAAGATCGCGAAACGTAATTGTACAAATGACGCAGAAATAGCACGGTAATGACACAAAATGGTGTGGAGTGTGCCGTGGCAATGACGTCTTTAAATTTATGTATGATTTTTCATTACTCATTATATCATGTTGTTACCTTGGTTATTACACAGCGAATTACGTAGATGTTTCCTTCGAAAGTAATGAGAAAAATTACTACAAGTATATTCCTGAGTTGTTGATTGAATAATAACATATGAATATAAGAATTTTAAAAACTTTTTAGTATTGATATTTATAATATTATTTATTAAATAACAGAGATAAATAAATAGAAACTTGGATCAATAGTGGGTAAGATATGTAAAAATTATATGAAAATCTAATTTCTATTTTTAAAATATTTATAACATACACTCAAAGAAAAAAGTCGTATCTAAACCTAGAACCTGGAAATTGTACACAAATAGCCTCAACTATGTATAATAAATATTGTAATAAGAACAATTAACAAGTTATATGAAACAAGAAAATATAGTAATATTAATCATTTATAATAAATCGTTAGTAAACTAAAATATTGTATACCATTGTTGTTAATATGTATTTTTTAAACTTATCTCCCTATGATATTGTGGCATTGTGCTTACTTTACAAAAATTTATCTAAACTGGAAAAATGTAATGTCACATTCTATTTATATGAAGTCTATATAATTATGTAATTATAGTTGAGTCGCTATTTCATTATCAATTAATAATTCATATTATTGTCTTAATATTTTTATCTCTATATTTTTATTGTATTCAATACTACTTTCGTACATATTACTTTGAAAAATTGGTTGTAGATAATTTAAGTTTTATAGTTGTCATAAATATAATTGCCAGAACTATTTTGTTTTCTTTCAGTGTATTTATTATGATATATAGAAGATATGCATTATACACGTTATTCTAAAATGTATGTATGATAGAATATACTCCACTCTCTGGAAAGAAATTGTCCTTTTTACTCGTTTGTCATCTTCGTGAGATTATTATAATTACTCACTGCGTAAATGAATAGTTTCAGAAATCTGCGTGTCGACCGAAAGTGTCGGAGTCCATAATTTTCACGTGACAACGAGATTTCAAAGTGAAATTCCGCGCGAAAAAAAATAAATTATCCCGCGCAATTGTGTGGCACTCCGTGAAAGTAAGTTTCGAGCTTACTAAGCTTGCGACTAGTAAATTGGAGAGCAGCAACGCGGTTTACATTCATTTCCATAATCTCTAAGATCAAAGCCGTGCCAAATGCAAAAGAATGTAAAAACTGATAATTAAAATTAAAGAGAGACGCTTTACGAGACATAATTTTTTTATATTTTATTTAAATAAAAGATAGAAAAATGGATTAAATTTCAAATGTTCACGATTCAGAAACAAAGCGATCAAGTAAAAAATTAAAAAGTTAAAGAACACTTAATTTAAAATGATAAGCAAATTGGTTATATGAAAAAAGAATATATAAAAACTCGATCAACGTGTTAGGCATAAAAGAGTGAGAAAAGAACAGCTGGTTAGAAAGTGATGAGTTCCGTCGAATGTTTTTTATCCGAAAGAAACGGATGTAAAAGACTCTCATTGCACTTCGTCGTAATTTCACTAGCTAGATAGAAAAGGAACGCTTTGGGCGCCTTGGGCCCATCCGGAGAGAGTGAGAACAGGCCAAAGAGAGTGGTCTCGGATGCTGATGTTTCTGTTCCTCATCAGTAGCTAACCGCGTGTCGCGGTGCTCTATTCATTGGTCCATCGATGTATGAACGTGACCATAAACCGTGATATATGAGTTTCCACGTAAATATCTCAAACAAATCACACCTCGAGAGAATAAACGTTACAACGTTACAACTACCTCGCACTAATGAGAAGACGTTCGTGAAGTGAATTTATCCGGAAAACACATGTGTTTCCGCAAAGTGATCAGATCAAGTGCACGCGTGCAAATTGTATAATATAATACTGATAGTATTATATGAAAAAGGTAGGAATACACACGATTAAATTGGAAATATCCAAATATTAAAAAATACAGTTTTCTAAAATTTTATTTTAAATGAATTATCTCGCATAGATAAAATTTTTCATCTTTACTTGCATATTGCAATTTTACGTTCAATTATAAAATCTCATAATGTATGTATTTCTGATAATAAATAACGCAATCTAGGCTGTGAGAAAAGATGAACGAGAATTGATTGAATCGAGGAAGGAAAGAAAGAAACGAGCCCTTTCGCCAGTCTCCTGCGAATGCCGCGATCGCGATCGGCAGACAAGATCTCAGATTAGTCGTCGACCTTGATCTTGATAGAAATCCAGGTGAGGCTGTCGATGCTCGGATGGCTGCACGTGCTTTCGATTCTTTAGAACGTGACGATCGATGCCGCCGCTACGACAGAAAAACTGTGCTCACCGGTGCGGTAATATATAGACTTGTTCGCTCGTAAAAATGCACTTGGTTCTTCAGCACTGATTAACGTTCTCCACGAACACGTGTACCTTTGTCCTTTTTACGGGTTCAGAGGGCTCATTGGCTGAGAAATTTGTAGAATCGCGCGCTCGGCTAACTTAAATAATCCTTCGAACGCAAGATTTAAAGAACATTTTAATAGCGGAGGGATGGGATCGTGCGGTAGACTAGATTTATATTAGATAATTATTTAGATAAATGTAATAAATCAGATAGATTTTAAATTAGGTAAGCGTGATGCCTCTTATTTATTTCTTTACCAAGCGGGAGAAGCGCGAGGAAAGTCGAACATCAAAAAAAATAGCGAGTTCGTGTACGGGCTTTAAACTCGTAACTCACGGCACGATGGTTGAAAGTGATATTTCACTCTTTCCTTCATCTTCAATTCGCCGCGTACTACTACCTAAACGAAATAGTTCGAATTTATTCTAGAGCAAGGCTTTTATTTCGCAAAGCAGAACTGTTTCCACAAGTATAACTTGGTTCCGCGATACTTCCATGGGAAAGTAGATTTTTTTCAGCGAGTTCAGTAATGATTCTGATATCTCGAGTTAATTATTAAAATAATTTAGAAAATGAAAAGGAATTAATTTGTAAATAGATACATCCATTATCCATTACTTATTTCTAGATTTCTATCGATCTTTCGTATCAGATGATAACATTTTATCAAAGAGGATTCTTCAGAGAGACATCTCTTCAGAATGTTGCTTTTAAACGCGAAGTGCTCTGTGGGCCCGTACGTTTCATATCCCCGCGCTCACCATGATGAGTCGTTGTCGTTGTCAAAGTCGAAAGTTACCGGCTAACTTTCACTAATAACCAAAAGCGGGGGAAAGAGGGGGAGGGAAGGAGTATATCGCCGTGCGAACACGGTTCCGCATGTAGACCGGCCGAACGTTACGAAGCACTAAAAGGCGTGCCACTTGTCTCGGTGGCCTGGTTTCGTGTCCCACTTTTGTCTTAGACTGTACGTGAACGTCTTTGGACACGCTACGTGAACTCGCTCACGGTATGCCGCTGAGGAACAACCAGCAGAGGATGTGGACAAAGGCCCTAGGATCTCCGAGATCGGAGAAACTGGAGTTAATCACGACTCGTGATCAATCACGATTGACGCTAATAACGACGTTAATAACGTTAAAACATCTTGATTCATCTTTCATATTAATAATTATATTTAATAATTATATTAGTAACTATTAGTAATTTAATCAGCTTGCAATTTATTTATATATAAAATAGCCTAATAACAATTTTAAAATCTGTTAAAAACGAAAGCTGTATGTTATTAATTAAGTAAGTTTATATGTTATTAATCATCAACGAAAGTTTATATCTTTATATTATTAATCATCAAGAGAAGAAACAAAATTCTTAAATGTGATAATTACGAAGTTAGAACGATCTTGTGTTAAAAGATGACAGAATTATAAAAGTTGGCCGACGACATTCGTGTTAATCCTTTTGTGTGAAACAATTGTCTGATCTTTAGCTCAAGATAATATTGTATGGATAAGATGGTTGGACTTGCCCTACATACACATGGAAATGTACTATTAAATTCTGCGTAAATAAATTTTTGATAAAATTAGTAAGAAAATGGATGTGACAGAGCAACGTACTTCACTCGAAAAATCATGCACGCGAAAATATTTGGAAACAACTTTGTAAATAAACTCGTCACCGAAATACGATCATGTTTTACAAGGCGAGTCTTTCACTGTTCTGTCAATTAACACTTTTCAGCGAGGTTCGTTTTATCAAGCTCCCTTTGAGCTCCCCGCAACCTCGTTCGATTAAACGGAACATTCGCGGGTGTAAAACAAATTTTACTTCGGTCAGTTGCAACGATAGAATCGTGTTGCGTAAAAGAACTTGCAAAATAAAAGCCGTGCGCCTCGTTTCATTCAAGAATCTTTTTAATTTACAGATACATTCTGTCGGCGAGATCGACACGGAAGACACGAGTTTCGAGGTGAAATCATACGGAACGCGACAAAATGATACGGAGCTGGATCAGAGACGTTCGATGACGACTTGAACATGTTTGGCAAACGACAGTGAATCGCATGCGATTATCGCTGACGGCCAAAGAGAGAAATGACTGTTCTCAAAACCGGAGTGCTTATCTCGCTACTTCTGATCGCCAATATCTGCTGTCTCGCTAATAACAGAAAAAACAATCGGTTTCTGAGGAATTTTGGTAAATAGATAGTTATATATTTTGTTATATATTGCTAGAAATAATGTCTTACCGGTAAAGGTATATTGAAGGTATATGTATTCTTTTAGGTCAACCAGAAAAGGAAGAAAATGTCGAAAATGCGATCGATTCGCATGGACAGATGAGATTCTTCGATGAACTCGGATGTAAGTAGAGCATTCCTTTCATTATTATTACGCTTATATTACAATATACTAGATAATAATGATGTTGCTCTAAATATACTGGGTTGCGTATTATATTACTGAATATGATATAAATAGCCATTAAAGTAGATTTGGAAGGATGCTTTAAAACAGAAAAAATGATCAGAATAATAAATCTCTCTTAACTTTGTTAAAAAACACGATTTCACATGATTCTTATTTTCGTATTATATTTAATTAATAACACAGTTAGCATTAATAGTATTAAATTATAGTGACTTAACGTTGAAGCTGTTAAATAATAATAATAATAATGAACCAATTTCAAACAATTTCAATATTACAACAGTATAAATTTAAGAATGTTTGAGCGTTATTACCTAAATATATATCACTATTATAAAGTCAAAGTGATAAATGAAATAATAAAGTGATATAAATATTAATATGTATTACTTTCTTTTAAATTTAACATAATACCAGCTATAACAAATGAATTAAATAATTTATTCTTATGAATACATTTACGTGCATCTTCTCATGATCTTGTTAAAATGATAGATATCAAGAAGATCTTAGAATGACAAACCGGTTGACGTTCACCGGATACTTATATTTACAAAACCAAAGTAAGATAATCTATCCGTTTTTTATCTATTCTAGACAACCCGACATTTTCATTACTAGTATATGTAATAATTATAATCAAATTAATTTATAATAAAAGTGACAAATACAGCGCATCATTACTTTAATGTATAAACTTAATAAAACGTGAATAAATTATGTAATTAAATATTTGTTATTATCTGCAAGAATATATATTTGAATATTTGAAGAAAGGATTAGAAAAAAAATGTATGTTAAACGATATTTTATTTAAGGGAATAATTATCTGACATTTCTCGTAGCACACGAGACGGTATTACGACTTTAGAAATATTTTCTCGTAAATGTGAACAAAGTACGACAGAGACTCACAGTTGAGTTAACAAGGGAGACAAAATCGGAATCGTACTTGAAAGGCCACTTACCGACGCTTACTTTCTACAAGAATATTTATAATGAAGCGCATGGAAGCTCCGTTTTCACTGCGACCTCAGAGCGCGTCTTTCTTCTCTGTAGTTACAAGAGTTTTTTACCGATAATATCTTTCCTTTTTTTATTGAAGATGATACTCGGTACCTCCTCGCTGAATTATTGAATTACACAAACAAAGCTTCTCAATCAAAGAATTTTGATTGAATTTAATTCAATCACGAAAGATCTTATACCACTATCTGACAATGGCTATCTTTTTATTTAATTTTTAATAAAAATAAAAGTACACACACACACATAAAAAGTATTACTTCAAATATTAAAAACTATTTACTTTTTTTTGAATGGACTTATAAAACAAGGATAAATATTTCACCCCAATATGAATATTTCATATTGATCTAGGTTTTATCCTCCAAAGTAAAAATACTGGCAGTGAAACTATGCGATGAAATTGGGTCGCGAAATCTTAGTCTATCGGATCTATTCGATGTAAATGGCCGTTTTAGCGAACAGCTATTGAAAGCAACTGATTTCTCAAAATCATATGCGTTCTCTTATCTTTTATTTATGATAAAACCTGGCTTGTGCTATTTATGAAATTACCACACAATTTCTAATTTATAATTGAACTCTTACTAAGGTTGAAATAGCAAATATTATTTAATAATTCTTTCAATGATATCATCTTTGTGATGGGGTTGTCAAAGAAAAGAAATAAATACAATAACACTAATAAAAAAAATCTAATAAACGTTTATAATTCTTTAAGATATGATGATCACGTGTCTTGTTAGACAACAACAAAAAATATATTTCGACAGAATAACAATAGAGTGACGAAACAAGATAGCTTAGACGATTCAACAAAGCATTCATCAGAAAGATAACAATGTACCCCCGTTTTTCCGCCTTCACGAGGCGACTGGCCCGAATCTTGACGAAGTTTTCCAGCTATTCAGAGTACGACAATTTCACGGCGACATAATAATTCAGCGAAGAAAGAAATGGAAAAGAAGACGCAACACCGCGATGTGATGGTTCTAGTGATGGTGAAGGTGGGGAACCAATGTGAGACCAAGGGACGACACCGTCGCTGCGGGAAAGCTGATGCCGGTGAAAGCAGTGGACGCCTTCTTAGATCCCGATCGAGACTCGTGGGACATCGGCTTAAGCCAGTCCACGTGCAGAAGGCGTGTATTGTTACCGCTGTTCTCTGTCACTTCAGTGAAGTGTCGTAGGGCGCCTTTAACACTTCGCCTCTCGATCAGAGCATATAAGCGTCGCCGACGCTTCAAGAAGAAGCTGTGTCGACTTCATCTTGTAGAGTAGTTTGTTCGTTTACGATAAATTAAAGCTAGGCAAGAGGAATCAGTGATATCAAAATGGCGGTGTCTACACGGAATTCCAAAACCATTGGAAATACCGTGCATTTCGCCGAAGTCTTCAATAAAGTGAGAGATTCGTGAGAGAAATGCGACCATGAATTACATTTGTCACATTTAAGAGGCTTTGTGATCCGGAACTAAAATCAATAATCAAATCTTATCAAACGCAATTTAAAATCTGAGATTTTTGTCAGGAGATATCGATCTCATCTAATCATCAAATAAAAGTGGAAAATTATTCGTTACTATTCGAAATAGAAAAAAAAGCAAAAAATTTCAAAAAATTGTGTGCCAAATAATTCCTTAAACATTTTTGCAAGTGAAATTTCAACTAGTCGAATCTTATAAGAGAAACTTGACTTACAACTTGTAACTAAGTCAAGTTTCTCTTCGAATAATTTCTCTTCGAATAATTTCGGTCTTCAGTCGATCTGAGATATTCTGCCTGTTCTTCATCAGTCGCCGGAGAAGGAAATGGACCGACCCTAAGTTATTCTCACCAGTGCATCCCTTTTAACTTTCGAGAGTGCAGTGACATAGTAACAATGCGCGAAATATCCTCGAAGTGACAAGCGGAAGTCAAAGTCGATCATGAAGATCGTACTCGGAGTGCTTCTGATTACCGTGGCGAGCGCTTTCGATCACCATGACACTTATTCGTGGAAACACAGGGAGGATTGCAAGATCGCGGCTGCGAGCCGCTCGACCATACCAATCAAAGTTAAGGAAACTCGTCTCCAGCGATCCAATGTGCATCGATTGAGACCATCAAATTCATTTGTGAATAATGGTTTTCAAAACTCACCGAGAAGATTTGCTGTGGCCGACGATTCGGATGAACAACACGATCTTTGGAAGTCCGAAGCCACGAGGACGAGGCAGGATTTAACGCGTGAGAATCGAGCCATCGAGAGCACTCTGAAAAACGTGGTAGGCAGACCATCCTTGGAAAAAGTCGAGCAGTATCAATATTTTTCGAATTTTCCATACACCAATGAGGGATCCACTGACGCCATATTGGAGAACACGGATTATCCGAAAAGCTCGGTGTTCTCCAAAGATATCCAAGAGGATTTTTTAAGTCATAATACGGAGGGGACGGATTGGAATGGACAGGAAGTGTTCGAGAAGGATTTGCAAAGCGAAGAAGAAGAAGAAGAAATAAATATCCAGGAATTACTGAATGAAATGAGACAAAAGGTAACAGGTGGACATCGGCAAGCCAGAAGGAGGAAATTGACAAGCCAGCAACAAGGTGCTTTGTTGGTGGAGACGCTCAGAAAGAAACGAAATTACACTAGTGATCATCGAGGACACAGTTCCAATCTCCAGAGTGGCCTTATGGAAATGTTGGGCAGAAGTATGTTTGTAGGATAAAAATAGGACGAAAATTGAAATTCTTAAATTGAAAGGGTTTTACTCAAATAAAAATCGAAGAGTGAACTTCATAAATTGTGCTGCGAATTAATTATCAATAAATATAAAAGTATAAAATGAAAATACGTAAATGAAAATAAATTACATGAAATAAATTACTTAAAAAAAATAAGAGAAGTGGTTCATCATTTTATATTTGATATTACTGAAAATTTAAATTAAAGTAAAAAAGAAGGAAATTAAAATAAAAATCGATAGTGATTGAGTAAATTTTTCATAATATGATATATCAATGATAAACAAATTATTAATGTGATTATACATGTTAAAATCAATGCAGGATTCGCGATGGCCGATTAATCTTCTCAGGAAGCACTAAATGCTACGTGAGAGAATGCACTTGATGAATGCAATTACATTTCTGTAACGATGAATGAACAAACATGTTGATATAATAGACTTTGAATGTTTATCTATGTTAAGATAAATTGGTTAAACTTTTTCAGAAAAAGTCTCTACTTATTAATCGTTTATTGATATTAATATCCATCGTCAAACGTATAAAGATATCAATATATTTAATATATGTGAAATCTGTTTCAGTGATACCACAAACGTGCAAGTATAGAGGTGCGAAATTCGAGTGCGGCCTCAGCATCAGCTGCGTTTTGGGCGGCGGTCGACCTGTCGATCTCTGTTCCGGAGGTTTAATATGGAGCTGCTGCGTGGATGACGATGACATACCTGAAAAACCGCGACCTACCGTGGGTTTGCTGCAAAATGCCAGTAAGTTTTCTCGCATTAGAGCAAAGACGTATTCCGAATGCATATGTCGAAAAGCGTATGTGTACCAAAACAACTTTCATTATGAGAATACATAACTTCAACCGAATACATAAATACATAAATTTCAACCGAATAAATTTTGTGAAATTCTCAATTCACCATTTAAAGATGGAAGAAACAATGAAATCGTCTGTTTTTCTCACGGAAGAGTTTTTAATTCAACAGCGTGTCTCAATTAACTCGTGAGGTCCTTTTTATCTGTCGTCATGCCGCTGTAAATTTACAACATTCTGAAAGAGGATCCGTGTCCTCGAATGTCACTAAACCGAGTTTCTGAACCGAAACTTTCAGGTTGTGTCGTGTTTTTAGCACGACTCGCTCGAGATCAGTTTTCATAAACGCTTTTAAATTTAACTTTTTAATTATCATGTATAACATGATTATGATAAAATAACACATTTAATGTGCACGCCAAAGAGAAAAATTCGGCAGATGAAGAATAAGAAAATACAAATGATATTTTAATTAATGTAAGAGAAATAAATGTGATGTTAGTTTGCTCGACTGAAAGTAGTAGAAGTTGAGACAATTAGATCGGGAGAGGGATCGCTTTGAGAAGAACGCTTATAGTTTATCGAGAACTGAAAGGAGACACTGGCTAGGAAATAACCTGATTTCTATCCGACGACATCCGAAATTACACAACTAACGACGTGTCCAGCTAGTGTCCCGCGCGCACCGCGACGCTACGACAGTAGCGGCCGGCACTTTCAAATACAGTTATTCACACCTAGTTTGCGCGACGGCGTCGCGTTGCACGCCCGTAGAACTTTACGCGAGCGTGCTTTCCCAAGCCGCAAGTCGCTCACCGTAACCGCGTGACCATCAATACAATGGCACGATTAGAAACAGACGAGGAAATAATGCCACCGCGGAGACAAGACAATTACAAACTGTCGCACACTATTTTTTTCTTTACTGTATTACTTTTCTAACGTCATAAAAATTAGTACAATGATGTATTAAATTTTTTTATTTTTCTTTTATTCTCTCTCTCTCTCTCTCTCTCTCTCTCTTATAATACACTTATAATTTTAGGAAAAGGTACCTTTCGGTGTTGGAACGAATTATCATAAAAAAGCGACGAGAACATAAAAGTGTCTTATTATAACGTTTTACATTTAATAATTTTTGTATTATAATTTCTCGGATTCAAGCTTAAGCCGACAGAGTGTTTAATCTTTGCTAAAGTATCAGCGGTAATATGTGTAACTATTCCAATTCGCCATGTTATCGGACTTATATTCGGCCACAGGGCCACGACACGAGTGATTCCGTATAGCTAATAGCGATACACCGTTACGTTGCCCAGCGTTTTCCATAAATCTCGGGCACCAACAGCCGTACGTGGACGACGTGCACATTTACAGCAGCGCGGTAAGGCCCAGCAGGCCCTCACTTGGCCACGAGACCCACCGGCCCACGTATACGACGACGAGTGGCGTCGGTAATCCGACCAGTCTTTATGATCCGTCTTACGCGATCTGGAGCCACGATCGGCCGAACGATCTCGCGGTCGGCCACGATCGACCGACGTACGCCACTCGTCCGTATCACACAGTTCCGGAGTATCCGCAGGACGAGTACGTCAGCGGCTATCCGCCCGCCGCTTCCGGTGTGCCGATCGAGGACTCGTCCGACGCCATGGACTACTCCAGATACCGTGGTAATCGCATGAGAATCGCACACAGATTATTGCACCGAGTGTGTGTCGCACGATGTGTGTCGAGCGCACGAAACGAGACTCGACACCCTGGGATGGTCCCCGGGTGAGTTCAGATTCCGAAAACTGCGAGACACGGCGAGAATCCCGCCGTGCGTCTGCGGCAAGGGAAATTGAACTCACCTCAAAAAATTATATATCTCTATAATTAAAATCTTGTTCCTCTTCGACGTATTCAATCGAGCTCTCCTGCTTCTCACGTCTCTATCGCGCTTACTTGCAGTCGACCCTTCAAATTCTCTTAGGCACACCTACTAGATTACTAGTTTGGACGTGCTCCAAACTAGTGTGTGGATTATTGTGATCGATGGGAAAAGTATAACTGTCATAATTTTAATCATTTCGAATTATAAGGGATAAATGTGTGTATATTGCGTAATCGATGCCGACGAAGTATCAACGGATAGTCAGTTAAATTTTATATTAAATTTTATACTAGATTTGAGTTTATGCCGAGAAGAAAAGTACTCGTTTTAAAGGACACACACAGAATTACAGCTTCGACGAAAATCAATACGAATTCTACGAGACGAACTGTGACGAGTTTTATAAAGTAGATGACTCCCGTCAAAATGATAGAAAATATTATGTTTATTAATAAATATATCAGAGCTAGTAAAATTGATTTGTAACGAGCCCCAATGACGGAGACGATATCTAAACGTGCACACAATTGCTCGCATGGAAACAGCACAAAAATGAATGCTTTCGTCGTCATATCGCACATTTTCCTGCACAAAGTACTGCCGGAAAACGATCGACAAACTGGATAGAGAAAAAAAAATGAGAGATTGCTGAAAAATATAAAAAATGACTGGAAGAGGTAAAAGCGAAGAGTAAAACTGAAAAAACAAAAAAAAGAAGGATAACAGGAGACTGCGTATCTGTACGAAGCAATATGGAACAAAGAAGAAAATATAATTATATTCTTAATAGTCCTTCGGTCTTTTTGAATACTGAAATTAAAGTAGAAACATGAGATTGAACTGAATATTCCGAAATGTCAAAATTAATTTTAATTTTTATCGATTTCAATTTATCGAGAGAAATATAAAAATATAAAATATAAAAATTGTAAATATTTGCCTTTATATTATTGGATTTGCACGTTTCACTCAAAACGCAAAGTTAACAGATCTAAAATGAGTAAATGTACGTGTGCATATAATTATGTAATGGATATCTCATATTTCTATCTTCTTCTCTGTATTTTAAACAGAATTACATGCCGAGAAAGTTTTATAACGAAATTCTGAATGATGTATCTCCGTAATCCGCGGTAAATAAACAGATTTCCTAAAGTCACACAAGTGAACTTTCTACACTGTGCTACCTCTATTTTCTGCTTTCTGTCTCTCGCCAATGTGTGAAACAATGTTAAGCAAATCACACTTCGGTATCAGTTTAATTGCTCTAATTGTAGAAAGTACCAGTTAATAAATTTTCAGCGTGAGCTTATCCTTTGCATCGCAATCTTATTTTCTCCTCTATGACACGCACAAATATCTCAGATATCTCCGATCATGCGTTTATTTCCGAGTATCACTTTTGCATTTATCACTATACCGCGTATCATCACCGATTCGCGGAATTTCTTTTTCGAGCACTCGAATCTCGCGACAGTTAACACAAGATCCTCCTTCCAGGCTGTGGCGAGCTCTACACGAGGAGCAACAGAATCGTAGGCGGACATTCGTCAAGTTTCGGCAGCCATCCGTGGCAGGTGAGGTGTTTCTCGCGCGATTTCTTCCTCTCCGTCCCTCCGGTCACCATAAATATATCTCTCGCCCGGCTCTCTCGCAAAGCGACACACTCTTGCTTTCCTCTGCATTATTCATTGTGGACGATCCATCAATTTGCTCGGTTCGCCTTTAGCGCGGAGAGCGAGAGAAAAATAATCTATTAAATCTTCTCTAAAAGCCGCGAGCCATGAAACGCGGGCTCGGATACTACATATTTCATGTAACACACCTGTAAGTAGATCTTTAAATGTTCCCTTTGTTGCAGGCTGCCATTATCAAGTCGGGATTCTTACAGACTAAAAGCTGTCTTGCGGCGGTGCCTTGCTGAACAACAGATGGGTGGTCACTGCGGCACACTGCGTCGCGTCGTTAGTATTGGTCTTATTTTTTTTTTTTTCGTTAGTTTAATATTACGAAAATATTGATCTATGCGAATTTCGTACATACCAGGACGCCGAATAACAATTTGAAAGTTCGACTCGGAGAATGGGACGTTCGAGACCAATCAGAACAGCTTATCCATGAAGAATTCAATATTGAGAGAAAAGAGGTTTTTCCTGTTCAAATATTAATACTTTACCTTTTATTAATTTAACGTCCAAGAGTTTCGCAATGCGACGTACAAAATGCTAAAAAAATTGCAAAACACACATACATATATTGTTTACATATTATATTTTATCCAATAAAACATGATAATGTTATACGCGAAGAGAACAGTTTTACTAACAAATCTAGAAATTTAGTCAAATCAACAGATCTAAAAACAATTTATCAAAATTATTATGTAAGAAGCTTGAGCATGATAATAATATGAAAATTTTTGATCTTTTAACAGTTAATTTAAATATATCGTATACAATAATATTTAAAGGTCCAACAAAATTATTTTCAAATCTGTATCTGGTCAAATTTTTAGATTTACCAGCAAGATTGTTCTCTCCGTGTAATAATTATGCTAAAAATTGTAACAACAACAGATACACCCGCAATACTCTCCTACGGACTTCCGCAATGACGTAGCTTTGGTGAAGCTGTCCCGGATGGTAGCTTTCAAGCAGCACATCGTCCCGGTTTGCCTGCCGGCTAGGAATTTGAAGCTCTCCGGCCGAACCGCAACCGTCGCTGGTTGGGGACGAACTAGGCATGGTCAAACTTCGGCGCCATCCGTTCTTCAAGAAGTCGACGTCGAAGTGAGTACACTGTCGGCTAACGCATTTAGCTTGCAGTGATAAAACATCTCGTCCAAATGAAGCATGTCTGATAAAGATAATCGCGCAAATATACACACTTTTTGTAAAACAATACAAAAATACAATTCTATGTGTAAAGTTTTTTACAATATTTTATTTTTACCTCTTGTAATCAATTATAATATTATTATTATTATATTAGAAATTGTTATTGTTATTCATTTGCCATATGTAAATTCATATATCATTTTATTGAATATATTAATATTATTTAATTAAACGCAATAAATTATTTTCTAATCATTACATATGAGTGTATATGTTATAAATTTCTATTTAGGTAATACCGAACGATAAATGTCAAAAGTGGTTCAGAGCAGCAGGAAGAAGAGAAACTATTCACGACGTATTTCTGTGCGCAGGTTATAGGCAAGGTGGACGAGATTCTTGTCAGGTAATAAAACAAAATGCAGGATATTCCGAGAGATATTCGCTTAATTCGATAATTATTTAAACAAATTTTCAATTATGAGTTTACAAGCTGGTTTGTAATAGGGAGATTCGGGCGGACCGCTAACAATGTCAGTGGAAGGCAGACATGTCCTGATCGGTTTGGTTTCCTGGGGCATCGGTTGCGGTCGTGAACACTTACCCGGTGTATATACCAATATCCAGAAATTCGTGCCCTGGATCGATAAGGTTATGAGTTAAAGCGGAAAAGAGAAATCTCAGTTCTTTCACAGGACGCGTTGATTTTATCTGAGAAGAAAGAAAAGAAGAAAGAAGAGAAGAAGAGGAAAGAGAATTTGCAGTTAGATGTGCAGTTACCAAAGTTTTATTTCATTCTTTAAGAATTTTTATAATCGAACTCGATTATTCTTGAGGAAAGACACTTTTTTGAAAATTGCCAAAAAACATGATGTTTTTCAAAGTGTGAAGATTATTAAGTTTCGACACTGACAATAAAAGATTAGTCAAAGACTACAAGCGATGTATTAATCCAAGGATTAATTGGCCATGCTATAAATTCTTCACATGCTAATTAATAGCGATAAAAATTTATTTAAGCTGCTTGTAAGTTCTGTTGTTGTTACTCGTATTATATTATAAATAATTTATTGTCGTTTAAATTAAAATGAAAATATATGATTTATTTCCAAATTTAACGTTTTTAAATTAATAGAAATATTATTGATGTAAAATTTAATATATAAAATTTTTTTTACAATATTAATCCATGTTATACATATACAAAAGTTATAAGAATTCATGGAATAATAAATATTTTAAAAATACTTACAAAATTATTCTGATTCCCAAAATATTATATAAAATTTACCAAATTTATCAAATTTACCAAATTTGTTTTAAAATTTTATTTATATAAAAAATTATATTTAGCCAAACTTTTATATAAAATATACGAAATAGTTTAAAAACAAAAAGAAAAATATGTAAAAAATCCTGATTATAATAATGTTATTAATTATAAATAATAGCTAATTCAAATTATATTCTAGTATTATCAATTTTTTAAAGAATTTAAATAATTAAACTTTTCCTTTATTGTAATAAATATAATTTGTTATATTTATTTTCGGACGCTATCAGTTTATATGATCAATTTTTCGATTAATTTTAATATTTTTATTTCAAGAAGATATTGTAGAAGAGATCCGTTTTTGCAACAAATGCTATTGTTTTCTTCAACTTTTCGTGCTCCTTTGTTACAACGTCGATAAATTACCTCCTGTTATCGACCATCTATAGGAAAGGATACATCCTATCCATTCATCTATAAGTATCTTTCGCAGGATAATTAAAAACCTTGAATATTCATCTTTGATAATATAAAGGAATGTAAAGAACTTTTCTTGCTATGATACAATAAAAAAGTACAATTATAAAGATACCTTGATAATTTCATGATTCAAAATTAATTTTTAATTTTTAAATAATTTTTTCAAAAATTATTAGAATGTGCCTGTTATATGTATTATTGGAACTCTTAGAATAAATTTTATAAAATATTTAATTATATTTCAGGAATTGAATGTATTAAAGCATAGACATTCATGCAGTTAATTGAAAAATTAAAAAATCACAAAGAAAAAAAATTGATATGTTCACAAGGATTTATAAATAAAAAAAAGAAAAAGACATATTTTAATTCTTCCACATTAGGGCCCAAAATGTATATCCGCTCCTGTCCTTGACAGAAGTAGAAAGAGAACGGGATTGGTCATAGAGAAGTGCACCTATCCTGATGCAGGAATAGAGGGAGCGGAAGGAGGGAGAAAGCGAGAGCAATGGTGGAGGGTAAGTTGCTAATTAGAGCCAGATTAAACGCTTGTCTGGGGAGCCATTTTCCTTGCCGTTTCCTCACCGTAGCCGAAGGAGGATGAGCGACACAGCGAGACAGCGAGAGAGGGGGCCAGGAAAAATGGGGGGACTTGCGGGGGCGGCTGAGGCTACGAGAAACGAGGAAGGGATGGAGACGAAGGGACAACGGAATGCCGACGCCGGCGGGAGAGGCGGGCTTAATGAAAAGTGTTTGCCCCGTAAAAGTTAAGATTAATTGGCGCTCGGGGGGTGGTTACCGCGATAATCAGCCCGGGCCAGTGGTTTTCAAACTCTCTCTGGTTATCCTGCGATCGTATTCTCCTTCAGGCTGCGATCGAATACGAAACCACACGCGAAGTTCCTCTCGACTTGTTCATCGTATTATCGAATTGCGAGAATATGTTTACACTTTTTAATACTGTTTCGTGTCTTTCTCTCTCTCAAGAGAATGAAAAATATAGCGAAACTTTGCTAGTGTGAACACCTTTCTCTTGAATTCAAACGCAATCTCGAGAGATGAACTCTGAAGGAATCTAACTAGTAGTAAAATTATTTCAAAACCAGGGTCTCTCCTTCAATCATGAAGTTCATATTTTTAGATTTGTAATATTGCAATAACAAAAATTCTAAGAAAAAGAATAAGATTTTTCAATGATAAAGAATGATATTTTTCTAAATTGCTCTTTAACTGCAAATTTTGATAATTATAACATTAAAACATTTAATTAAAGAAAATTATAATATTTTTAATATAAATTTAAAATTTATCCATACAAACTCATTTAAAGCTCAATTTAATTACTCTAATTACGCTTTTCTTCTTGTTATTAATAATATCATTAAAAATATTTGAATTGATAAATAAATATAATTAAAATTTTAAAAACCTTTTCAAATTCTTCGAATTCAACCAAAAATGATGATAAAGCAACAGTCTATTATCGGTGATAATCACACGACATAATTAGAGAAATTTAATTATGCGCTTTTCCGAGCAGCGCTTTCGTTCACGGTTGAGCACAGCTGGAATGGGAGGTTAATTTGGCGACACCTAGTTTCATTAACAACGCCATTAAAAGTAATGGCCGGTGAGGGGGCGAAGTCGGTCGCGAGGCCTCCTAGGGGGCTGGGAGATTCTAATTACGGAATAGGACTTCCCTAGTGGAGTACGTAAGGCGTGGGGAACGGAAGAGGAGGTCAAACGCCGGATGCGGGGAGGGTGGACCATCGAGTCGAAAGACGCCATGATATTCGTTAAACGGTATAATTGCACCCTCCGGAACGGAACTCGCGTAATTGTTCCGAGCACGACGACGTCGTGAAAAACTTATCGTCCGAACTGATTATTGAAATCGCGCGATTAATTTCCGCATTTGAAATGATAGCTAGAAACGAGCGATGGAAGATATCTTCTATGAAATCTTGTTATGTAAATTTTGAGATAAAGTTGTACAATAAATATTACTAAAAAATAGATTAAAAATTAAATAAATTTTTATATTAATGTGCGCATATCTTGTACATACGACACTATAATTAATATAATAAGATGAAAAAGGAGACAAAACAAAATATTAAAAATAAAAATATTTCTAATATTTCTATATTTCTAATATTTCTATAGTATAAAAAAAATTAATTTTTGTTAATTATTGAATGATACAGAAATTGCATGTGTATGTGTACGAATTTTATATCCAAGTTGATAAATAGGGATAATAAAATATATCAAGATGCGATAATGCCGCGTACTTTAATGGAAAACTTATAAATCGATTATATGGTTTCATTTGCTATTATCGCACGTTAATCTAAAGTGATGTAGGTAATGACCATGATGGCAAATTATTGATCGTAGTAATAAAATAGCCATTTTATTAATTTATTTATATCAATTAAATCTTTACAATCCAATTGATAGATATGTTTACAATAATTCATATCGTCTACATCTTATCAGCCATACAATAATATTTTACTTAATCGTATTAATTAGAAGTAATAAAAAAAGGATATATATATATATATATATGTGTGTGTGTGTGTGTGCATATATAAATAAGGATATATATATATATATATATATATATATATATATATATGCATATATAAAATATAATTTAATTATTTATACGATTTATATATAATATTTAGACAGATACATCAGCGATCTGGTACTTTACCGAGATTATCATGCACACGTTTATCAATAACAGATGTATCGATAATTACCATCGTATCATTAAACAATATCGAATTGAAGTTTGATAAGGAATCACAAAAATTTCAAAAATTTTCCGTAATAAATATAACAAACATTTCTAATGAAATATAAATCCAACAGACGATTAATAAAATGTAAATTTATAAACTTTTCTTATTTTTCTCATTTAATTTTCTTTTAATTTGCTAGGAAATTTGATAGAAGCATAATTGTTACAATTATAAGCCAATAACATCACAATTTTAGAATTATATAAATAATCTTTTCATATTATGACTGCTTTCGTTATATTATGTTGAATAAATATTTTACTTTTGTTAAAGACCTGTACAGACAAGAATCTTTTATCTCACTGCTCTTATAAAGTTATATAAAGTTATATAGAGTATTCTAAATGTCACTTTAACGACATGTAAGCGAGCAAAGAATTGAAATTAACCTGATAAACGAGCATGGAGAACGGTCGATAAGACTCAATTAGCGATATTTACATAAATATAGACGGCTTTGCGATAAGCGAATGCGCGACATCAATTAGGACTTATCAGCGGCCAACGATAGCTAATCGAAACAGCAATCTTATCCTTCGGATAAGAAGCGCAATGTGCGAATTAAGCATTATCAAATTGTTAATTATTTATTGCCAAAGAGAGACGCAATACTGCACAGTATTTCTCTTCTCTTTCACACCCGTACTTGCGCCTGCTAATTTGTTCTGTGAATTCTTGATTATTGAAAAAGTCACAAAATTCAATAGTCCGCCAATCAGCATTACCAAATGAGAGAAATTATCTGGACTTTGTACAATCGCGTTTCATGTATGAAGTATTTAATTTGCCGGCTTTATAGAAATATCGTTGCTGCGAGTAATGCGAGCATTTACTTTTTTGTAAGAAGAATGTTAATTTTTTAATTATATTTTACGTGAAAAATATATTTTTTTGATTTAACATTTAAAGAAGACTCTTCACTTTAGACATATCATAATTTTTAATTGCTAAGTTCAACGCTATGATTATACAATCACTAATAACACGTGATTTGTTTGCATTACTTAATATTATTTCTCGATTACAGGAAATGTTTTCTCAAGATATGACCTCCCGTAAATCTGTTTTTAAAGATCACTGTTGAGAAAAAGACTTTTCACAGATTTATTCTTGGACGATGATACGACGGAGGATTCTCGCTTATCGTGACAGAGCATAATCGATGGTTAAAAATTGTTTGATGTTTGCTCGGCAGCCAAGGATGACAGAAAGTTACCTGTGTATATGTGCGAGAGGACCACAATATGATATACATATATGTTTGCTACCTGCATGAACCCTGATATGTCAACAGTGGCGTAGAATGCATAAATATTCAAGAATTCATATAAGAAGTCATTAATTGTAAGGACATATACATCATGAGATTAGAGAGCGAAATGCATCTTATATATTATTATCGCAGATTTTTGCTCGAAATCAAAATAAATTTTAACAAAGGAATATTTAAAAAGAATATTCAAAGAATATTCAAAAGTGTTGTTGTCCAGCAGATATAACTTTTGTAAAATCAATAATGTAGATAATAATAAATAAATAAATAAATATAAAATAGATAAATAAAGAAGAAAAATTTAAATATTCAAAGCAACTTAATAAAGCGTAATTGTTTTTCCTTTTGTTGGATTTCCTTTTATTAGACATCGTCGAATATCTATATTATTTAATATTTTTCCGTTACTTTTTTTATTCCGATAAAAGTGAAATATCAACTTATTAAAAAAAATAATTAAGAGGTGAATAAAAATAATCTTACATTTCATTGTCTAAAATAATATGAAATAAAGAATTCAGTAATTTTTACCAACCTTTTTTAAGAATTTGAGTAAATGTTAATTTTTTTCGAAATTTTCTCTCAGTTTTCTTGAGTTCTTAAAAAAGTAGAGATAGAGTCACTGGTGCATTAACTCTTCAAAATATGTTCCTAAGGGAGCAGCACGTGTGTCCACGACACTGATGGGCGCAATAATATTACGGGAGTACGTAGAAACGTATCGGGAGGAGAGTGAAAACGAGTATCCTGTGAGTGTGCTGGACGTGCTTCGGCCTTTAAGTAAACACTCTTTCGTCTCTTATTTGGCTACATACAGGCAAACGAGGAGAACGAACCATTTACCTTCCAAGCACTGTTCGTGGTGGAACCACGAAGCGGACGATGTTGGGTGATCCATCATTTTTCGATTGTTAAACGCCTCGGCAAGTATTTTCGACGCGCACCGAATTATTATCAATTTTTACATCATTGAAAAGTTTTTATGATGTTCTAAGTAATAATCGTTTAATAATCATTTATGCGCGTATATGTATTTACGTGCGTTATACATCCAGTAACAATAAAAATAAAATATTATCAACACAGAAAGAATTTTTTTCTGAAATATCTGAAAAATTCTGAATTCTGAAAAATTTGACCAAATATAGATCTGAAAATAATTTTTGACCATTAAAAGAATTATGTAAGGCGTTCCAATTGATTGCTAGAATATTAAAAATTTGTACAGTATTATTATCATGCTTAAGCATTTTATGTAATTATTTTGCTAGGCCAAAAAAATTATTTTCAAATAGTATCTGGTATATAGTATCTAATCAAATTTTGAAGTACTTCAAGGAAAGCGTTTTTCGAAGACATTTTTCGTGAAGAAGATAAAAAAAATGACAATATAAAGACACAAATATGAGATACCAAAGATATTATCTCGATATCCAAAGAATAAATACTGAATGTACAATGGTCCATAAAATTTAGGTGTTTATTTTATTACATCACACATCACAAAATGATAGTTTAAAAGCTTATATTTCTTATTTCCTAATATCTGTCACACTTGATTAAAATTGAAATACTTCATATATTTCATTTTAGAATTGAGTCTTCTGCTCCAATTATTGAAGCTTGTTCGTATAATTGCGAAACATTTTCTTCGAAACAAACTTCGAAAAAATGTATCAGGGTATCACGTTGTCACCCCACTGATAACCGAATATTCGTTTAACCGATACGAGAAATTGTCGATAAGAGGAACGATTACTCGCAAACGGGGTGTGATACCTATTAGGTGACTATTAGGTACCTGATAAGGCGGCACATATTATTGATATAATACTTCATTGCGCGATGTTATCTGAACGGATGTCTACTAATACGCATATCTCCGATTACACCGATTTTTCAGATAATCAGAGGTGCGCTATAATTAATCCCAGTAACTTGCGATCATCATTATGATTTAGAACTTTTGGATTATAAATGCATATCTAAGGATCTGAAAATTTTATATTTACAGATTCAGTTTTTGAAAACGTGAGAAAAAAATTGAACAATCTAAAAAATTAATTAATATTGAAGATCAAAGAACGACTATTACTTTATACAACGAAATAATGTACAATATAAGCAAACGAATTATCTCAATTTTCGAATTTTATTCAAATTATTCAGAAGGTTAAGTTTTAAATAATATTTTGCTCGAGAAGAATTTTTTTTTTATTAAATGAAAGATACATGTCAATTTCCAATAAGATTCGCAAATAATTTGTTCACTTTGATCTAGAATCTTAATTTCTATACACTCTATTTTCCTGATTGTAAAAGCTATTAAAAATCAGTGACAGCAGGTCTAAAATAAGATTTCATAAACTAATTATATTAGTGAAAAAAGATTCTAAAATCTAAGAAGAAGGAAAATATCGAACTTAGAGATGATTTCATCATCTTCAAATTCAATAGTCTCAGCTACAATAGGTGGCCATCGGACTTGAGTCACAGTTAAATTAATCACGCGATAATATCGATTACAATACCGCCTTGATATCCGCCGCGCGGACACCAAGAATTCCCAAGAAGTCGCCGCGGAATCGTCCATCCGCTCGCACCCTCGCCGCACTTTTCACGCCTATTTGCCTCTCCTTCGAACTTCCACGGTCACGTGGAGAACCTCTGTGCGTCTCTCTCTGTGCCTCTCTCGCGCCGATCCTTTACGCAATCTCTGATTGGTCGAGGGGGAAACTCCAGGGTGGCATCGCTATCCCCGTTGCACCCGACGGAAGTGCCTTGCTGTATCTCACCCCCACCGAAGGATCCGTGGGTGTGTAGTTCAGACACGCCCGATTCGCGATGGGCGTAGTCAAAAGCCAGCTGCAGCGATTCTGTCTAGTGGGAGAAGCTTTTTCGGCGGACACGCGGTCACTCGCGACGTCACTTTGCGACGCGACGCCGAGTCGTCGGCTTCGTGTGGATCATAACGCAATAATATAATCGCGAAAACGATCGGTTACAAGGGAACGATTGTCGATCATCGAGTGTGGATGACCGAATTGTGTGCCGGTTAACAATCGCTCCGATGACATGTCCACGTAATAACGTTCGAAAAACTGTGTGAGACACCGCTGAGATTTATACAGGTACACCATCGTCATCTATAATTGATCAGTTTAAGGAATTATAATCGTCGATCGGGTTGAAAACTTCATCGTAATTAGAGTTAGTTTGTGTCAGTGTTGATTTTGGCAATCATTCTGGCACACTATTCAACCGTCACCGTTAATCTTATAAACATTGTTATCTATAATTCGTTTGAGTCAGTGTCAAAAGCAGGGATTGCTATATTGCTCAAGTGACATCTAGATTCTGTTAGATTCTAGTTAGTGTTGACATTGTAAGAATATAATCTCATCAGGAAGTATGTGTTAAAGATCTACAGTGATTGCTTAAGATATGGCAGCTATGCATTACAACGCGCAGATGATCTCAGAAGACTTGCATCAGCATCCACGACATCTCTACAACCTTCAACAAAGACTTCAAGATTCTGGATCCTCGCCCAGATCGGAGGATGCCAGATCGCCATTGGACAGCCGAGTGAGATCGCTCGAGGAAGTACGTTTCATGGATGCTAGATCGCCAGATGTAGAGGATAGGGTAATCAGATATCACGAAGATGCCGGAAGTAAACATTTCCCCAAAGACCATGCGGGTTCTGGTTTTTTCCAGGATTCGGAAAACTCCTCCAGAAAATGTTTCAACGATGAAATAACGACGAGTCGTTGCCGCGAACCGGAAAGCTCTCCTGGAAGAACGTCCTCGCCGCAAAATTATATTCTCAGCTCGCCTAATCAAAACAACAGTTCCATCGGCAAGACGTCCTTTTGCATCGACGCGCTTTTAGGTCGCGCCACGAAGCAGAATGAAATAGAGCAGTCGACCGCCGATCGACAGAAATCATTCTCCAGAAATCACGGTGTCCAATCTGACGGTCTGAACCTTGGAAGCATTCAAGAACGAGAGTCCCCCAACGCCATAAGATGTCCCGGAGACCAAAGAACCGCCTTGAGAAATCCTCTAAATCCTTTTGTTCAGCATCACGAGTCCGATTCACCGAGTCTAGAAGCTCGGGAAAGACATTCCGCCAATCGCGAGGCTGTTCTCGGTCTTCATCCCGGCGATTCCGGCGTGTCTGTCCAAAGAGGCCAGTTCAGGCCCGAAACGGGGACTAGCAATTACCGGAACGACCGGCTCGATAACGTCGAGGACGACACGTCGGTCGACGTGGATCCGACACGAACCGGAAGCGCTAGTCCCGGAAGCAACGCGAGTCGCAGTCCTGCTTCCAGTCCTCCAATATCTCCTGGTTCAGAGGATCCGTCCAGTAATGGGATGCTGAGCCATCAGAGTCTCACGTCCGGGCCCTATGGCATGGGCGCGGCGGTGGTCAGGCAGAATCAGGGCCTCCTCCTGCATCCCGCGGGACCACTCATCCATCCCGGAGGACTGTATTATCATCCAGCCGGTGGCAGCGCCTTCCACTCGATACACAAAGAGGGTCAGCCGGTCGGCCATCCCCAATCCGGAGGGCCTCATCCTCAGCAGCATCACATTCATCCACTCCAGCTCGAGTGGTTCGCCCGAACCGGCATGTTATATCCGAGACTTCCCGCGGATTTAGCCGGTGAGTAAATCGACGCAAATAATCTGATTAATCACAGCGACTGTTTCAGATATCTTGATTTGTTTGCACAATGATGAATCGTTACAATTCTTAATAATTATGATATGAAATATACAAAGAAGGAGATATTTTTGTACGAAAACAAAAAAGGTTTTACGTTGACAAAATTTTAAGATACTATTACTCAAAAATTTCATCGCAAAATTTATCTAAAAGAAAGCATATCTAAGTTAATGTGCAATAAGAATTTATAAATAATATTGATAAAATTTTTAATAATATTAATTAGACTAGAATTAATTTTGTCAATTATGTATTTTAACAAATTTGAAATGTTTCGTTAATATAATAATTTGTAGTTTCAATAAATAAAAAATTTTTTAAGTGCATGTAACAATGTAAATTTGTATAAATCTAATTTAAAATAACATTTTAAATTGCATCATTATTTATTTTAACAAAAACATAATCATATCCGTTAAATTGAACTTATCGATTGACGAGATGCTTGTAATTAATTGAATAATATCATAATGATCGCGCCGCACCAAAGAACGATACAAGCAATTAATCGTATGATCTGATAAAAGTTTTAAACACAAAATCACAATAATTATCATCGCTATAAAAAGCGACACAAATTAAAATCCGCTATTTTATGATAAGATATAATTCATATAAAGCTTCAAGTGAAATAGTATTAAAAAATGTTAAAAGTCATGATATAAAAATCAGTGATAAATTAAATATTATAATAATGTTTAACTAACATAATTAGTATGGTATGGTAATTAGTTTAAAACTTTTATCTATATAAAATATATTACAAGAAATCAATAAAGTAACTAATTTTTTAAATTTATATTAAAGAGATTTTGTAAGTGTTTTTTTAAAAAAAGAAATTCTGTATAAGTTTTTATATAAAAAAAAATATTTCTCGTTCTTATGAAAACAATTCATACGTATTGTTGATGAGAAAAATATAAAAAAGTGTGCATACAATTTTTAAAAGTAGAATTTTTGATTCCGATTTCTAGAATCCGCGATTTTTATAACTAAGAATAAAATTATAAATACTGCATAAAATAGTTATAATGCATCGTAAAAGACAATTGACCTTCATGTTAAAACCATTAAACCTATTCTTATATCTGATAAATTAACGATTCGATAATAATTTGCGAGGAAATCGAGCGTAGCCGATAACGGTCGTTAAAGTCGATAACAATCCTCATAAATCGCTTTCTAAGCCAGCACTGATGTGCCGATCCCAGAAAAAAAACACATTGATTGCGATTTTATCACTGACCGCGGATCTGCAACAAATAGCGTGCGAGATAGCGCGAGAATAAAGTGCGAGCGAATCCGATTTAAAGGAATGTGTAAAATCAAATTTGAAATCATATAATTCCTAAGAATTTAAAACAATTTTTAATTATCCAATTTCTTAGTACATCGTATTAAACAACGAATTTGGCGAGTGTAAATAGGCAATAAAAATTTTCCATAAATATTACAATTACAATTTACTTTGACAGAATTTAATTTGTTGCTTGACTATCAATAAAATATTGAAAAATATCGATTCTGATTATTAAAGCGTGTAATAAAATGTTCAAAAGAAAGAAAAAGAAAGAGCCGAGCTTTCCTGTCGGAAAGCTCTTCTGTCTTTCCTTTCCGCAGGACGAAAGGAGACGCGTATTGCGCAAAATCGAAATTCCTTGCGTGGGTGAGTGGATTGTCAGGCGATATCGTTGATCGACGGTAATTCATGCGTGGGAGGTTGTGTTATGTTAGCTCTCGACGGCTATTACCAGCTATTAACTCGAAAGTGAGAGGCAACGTCGAAAGACAGATTGCCGTTGCGATGAGCAGATAGTACATGTTTACGTGTCTAATGTACCGCTTCACCAGACCATATTGGCCGACTATACAAATTTTACGTTATCTTGATAACGGCAATGTGACGTTCGCATACTCGCGTCTCCCTTTGAACATAGAGTATCGAAATTGTTTAAAAAAAATATCATTAAAGCAAAATACTGTAACATTATATTATAAAATGTAAGCTTTATAAAAGTTTAGTCATTCAAAATTAATCTTCTTAAATTTTGCTTAAATAAAATGAGGATTATTTTTAATAATTATATTTCTTTTTTCTTGAAAAGATCATTTGTAGCCTGTAATCTTTTAGAAGAGGCATCGAGTATTTTAAATTAAAATTTTCAACTCGGTGAAATTTTATTTACTAAGATTTTATTTGCATTTTATTTACTAAGATTTTATTTGCATTTTATTTACTAAGATATTTTTGCCAGATTTTAATTAATCTTTTGCAATTCTTCCTGAAAGATAAGGAGATACTCAAGCGCATCTTTTTGTCCAGTTGCTACAAAACTCTTATTCACGAGAACGACGAACTGCATCGCTGCCAACTAATTCGCAAACCTAGCCACGAATCACAGAAACCGTTTCAGAGATCCAAAGAAGGAAAAGACGAAAAGGTAGAAGAAAAGGGTATTAAGTGGCGGCAGAGAAATTTGAAAGGCAAGGCTTGAAAGAAAGCAAAGGCTTGAGGGAGGAAAGGGGGTGCAACAAGGGATCTGGTTGCCACGGTAAATTTCGCGCTTGGAAAAAAGAGCCGTGGCCGCGTTGTCAGGCCAATCAGTCGAGGGCTTTTATCGAACAAATTGGTCAGTGAACGTATGGCGATGGCGGCGCCGGATATCCCGGGACGGAGACAGGAGGAAGGGAAGCAGAAATGAGAGGTGGAGTGGCGGCGGGGACGCCGCGGACACAAGTGGCGAACGGTGACGGGTGCGCGGGGTATTTCCTGTCAGATGATCCTGATTGGTAGTTGCCGAGCAATCCAGCGTCGACCAAAAAAGGCGAAAAAATCGAGCGGTGGCGTAAAACAAGCGCAAAAAAGGGAAAACGGAAAAAAGAGAGACAGAAAGAGAACGCGCACGTGCGTGCGCGCGCGCGCGCGCGCGTGGCACGAAATAAAACGCGCGTCGAATACATCGAATGTGCCCCTGCCGTTGCTACCTCTCTCCCCCCTCTCCCCCCTTTCCCCTCTCCCCCTCCCCCCGGCATGCTCATTGGAAGCTATCGTCGGTGGGGTACACGGCTCGACTTGTTAAAAATTGCCGGCGGCCAGACTACCCCCCGCGCGACATTCTGCAAATAACGCGGGGAAAAGGGGGGACAAGGGCGGGGACGGCGAGGGGGATGATGCGAGCTTTTATTTGCGGAATATTTGTCGCGCGTTATGCCCGCGCGCGGCGACGCAACGACAACACCATGTTTCATCTATCCCATGCCGCGCGTAACGGCGTATCGAAATTTAACTAGTGCGTTATAAGCGGGATGTGTGCACGTGTCGGGGCCCACGTATTGCACGATGTACCCCGTGCCCGGACGGTACCGCTGCCCACCGCACTCCAACCTCGCGTCACCATCCGCTGCTAGATAGTTATCCATATCGCGTTACGAATGGATGGCCCGCACCGCGGTCGCTCTAATTAGCGCGATTCTGCGGCCATCGATTGCCGCCGCCGAATAGAATGTCCATTGAAACGACAAAACTTCGTCGTTATTACAAACGTATTATTGCGATTATGTTGCGCGGACGCCTTAGAAACAAATTATTTAATCCCGAAATATATAGCTTTCATAATGACGGATCGCTAAACAAAGGGTTAAACTGAAATAATCGAAAAATTATTGCGAAAAATTTTAATCAGACATCTTCGAAAGGTTCAAGTTTCGAAAATTATCTAGACGATGAAGACAATATGGTAAAAAGCATAGAAATAAACAATCAAAATTTTGTTTTATGAATTCTAGTATTCGTGGAAAGTAAGAATTTTTGTTTCTTTTAATATTTGCAATTAAAACGAAACATATATACACTTTAAAAAATATCAATGTGAAATTATTTAACCATGTGTTTAAATAATTCAATGTGAATTTTAACACCAAATCATTGAGAATCATTCACATCAACAACAACGGTATATATAGACTTTGATGAGATATTTTTTGTTTTAACAACATACGATGTGACGGCGCGACACGTAATTACGAACAACCAATCGCTACAGCGTCTATACAGTTCAGTCAAGTTGTATTAATCGATGCCTTTGGTTCGTATCTGTACTAATGACTATTAAGTTAAAATTGTTAAATACGGAAAATAATAACGGAAAATGTGTGTCTTTTTTATCGAATTATCCAATGATGATATGTTGCTTATGATAATCATCGTATTATCAAAAATATGTATATACATCAAAAACTTCGACTTATTTATGAAAAATTAGTATCAAAATTCACATCATTCTTTGTAAGAAAATTTACCATAATAATGTAAATTTTTCACATGCAGATATAGATTTACTAAACGCAACAAATATATTATAACAGCAATATGTAATATTAAAATTCATGCTGTTGGTATTAAAATCACTTTTTACAGGATAAATATAAAAAAATGGATTCTTTTTTTTTTAAGAGAATAGACATCTAATGTTAAAATAAGAATTATTACAAAAAATACTCTCTCTTTTTTTTTGATAAAATTTTATATTTTACAAACATCTCATGATTATTATTTTTTTCGGATTACAAAAATAATATAAAGACTAAAAATATATCTTATTATCCTCTTTCTTGAAAAGTAATGACATAAAACAGAATTAAAGGCAAGTCTACATTTCAATCTAATATTATGTATTTAATAATTGTATCAGAAAGGTCTGCATTAATGAGATAAATTAATATTATGCAAGATATATCTTGTTCGCAAAAGCGGAAAAAGTTTATTCACATTTTTCACCATGCGCTACATGATATTTCGAATGTCATACATTTTTTTTACTTGTATGGCATATGTATGCGTCAATCAACGATGATCGACACTAGTCGATAATTGGCTTTTGGATTAGTAAAATGTCATCGATTTTCCGATGGTGCAACAGTCATATAGGCACACCAGC